GTCTATTGTTGCCTAGCAATGAACCTGTCTATTGATACCTATCTATGTACCTGTATATTGGTACCTGCTATGTACCTGTCTATTGGTACCTAGTTATGTACATGTCTATTGTTACCTAGCAGTGTACCTGTCTATTGTTACCTAGCTATGTACCTGTCTATTGTTACCTAGCTATGTACCTGTCTATTGTTACCTAGCAATGTACATGTCTATTGTTACCTAGCTATGTACCTGTCTATTATTACCTAGCTATGTACCTGTCTATTGTTACCTAGCTATGTACCTGTCTATTGGTACCAAGCTATGTATCTGACTGTTATTACCTAGCTATGTACCTGTCTATTGGTACCAAGCTATGTATCTGACTGTTATTACCTAGCTATGTACCTGTCTATTGGTACCTAGCTATGTATCTGACTATTGGTACCTAGCTATGTACCTGTCTATTGGTACCTAGCTATGTATCTGACTATTGGTACCTGTCGTTGTAATCAACTGTCATCCCCCATTTCTATTGATGTAGGTTTATAGTCACAGTTGACAGAGATTGATGTTTACTGTGCATTACATGATAGTTTTCTCTGTTTCAGCGTTGACAGGTGACAGATCCTTTGCCAAGATGCCAACAGCAATTGACCCTGCATTCAGGAATATTGCAAGAAATAAGGCTGGATTTTACATATGGAGAATTGAGGTATGACTGTAGGCAGGCCTTGTGGTATTACTGTAGGCGGGTCCGTGGTATGACTGTAGGCAGGCCTTGTGAAATCACTGTAGGTGGGCCTTGTGGTATGACTAGGCGGGCCTTGTGGTATGACTGTAGTCAGGCCTTGTTGTATGACTGTTGGCGGGCCTTCTGGTATGACTGAAGGTGGGCCTTCTGGTATGACTGAAGGCGGGCCTTATGGTATGACTGTAGGTGGGCCTTGTGGTATGACTAGGTGGCCTTGTGGTATGACTAGGCGGGCATTGAGGTATGACTGTAGGGGGGCCTTGTGGTATGGCTGTAGGCAGGCCTTGTGGTATGATTGTAGACGGGCCTTGTGGTATGATTGTAGACAGGCCTTGTGGTATGACTGTAGGAGGGCCTTGTGGTATGACTGTAGGCAGGCCTTGTGGTATGACTGTAGGCAGGCTTTGTGATATGACTGTAGGCGGGCCTTGTGGTATGTGGTAATACTAGGTACTTGCTGTGTATATATTGGGTAATATGAGGTACTTCCTGTGTATATATAGGGTAATACTAGGTACTTCCTGTGTATATATTGGGTAAAACTAGGTACTTCCTGTGTATATATATAGGGTAATACTAGGTACTTCCTGTGTATATATTGGGTAATACTAGGTACTTGCTGTGTATATATTGGGTAATATGAGGGACTTCCTGTGTATATATAGGGTAATACTAGGTACTTCCTGTGTATATATTGGGTAATACGATGTACTTCCTGTGTATATACTGGGTAATACTAGGTACTTCCTGTGTATATATTGAGTAATACTAGGTACTTCCTGTGTATATGTTGGGTAATACTAGGTACTTGCTGTGTATATATTGGGTAATACTAGGTACTTCCTGTGTATATATTGGGTAATACTAGGTACTTCCTGTGTATATCTTGGGTAATACTAGGTACTTGCTGTGTATATATTGGGTAATACTAGGTACTTACTGTGTATATATTGGGTAATACTAGGTACTTCCTGTATATATATTGGGTAATATTAGGTACTTCCTGTGTATATATTGGGTAATACTAGGTACTTCCTGTATATATATTGGGTAATATTAGGTACTTCCTGTGTATATATTGGGTAATACTAGGTACTTCATGTGTATATATTGGGTAATACTAGGTACTTCCTGTGTATATATTGGGTAATACTAGGTACTTCCTGTGTATATATTGGGTAATACTAGGTACTTGCTGTGTATATATTTCTTAATACTAGGTACTTACTGTGTATATATAGGGTAATACTAGGTACTTCCTGTGTATATATTGGGTAATACTAGGTACTTGCTGTGTATATATCGGGTAATACTAGGTACTTCCTTTGTATATGTTGGGTAATACTAGGTACTTCCTTTGTATATATTGGGTAATACTAGATACTACCTGTGTATATATTGGGTAATACTAGGTACTTGTACATTAGACACAGGACAGTTTTGACAGGTCGTTCAGATGTTTTCGTCAAAACTACAATCACTGTATGTAACATAGAAACACAAATTACAAAGGAAAACAACTGTTGACTTGTGTCCTGTCCATAACTCAAACAAATTGGCGTGTAACAGCTTAAGTATTCATTATAACAGAGTATAATTAGGGTTCTAGTTTAATCATACTTGTATCAGGATCCTTAGGTGATGAAAGTTACAGACCACAGCAAGCGGTACAGTAGACAGGAATGTCGGCCATCAATAGCGGCATGCTACCTGTTTTCCTTCAGCTTTGTACACTAGCCAGGAATGTCGGCCATCAATAACGGCATGCTACCTGTTGTCCTTCAGACAGGTTTGTACAGTAGACAGGAATGTCGGCCATCAATAGCGGTATGCTACCTGTTGTCCTTCAGATTTGTACAGTAGACAGGAATGTCGGCCCTCAATAGCGGCATGCCACCTTTTGTCCTTCCGCTTTGTACAGTAGACAGGAATGTCGGCCATCAATAGCGGCATGCCACCTTTTGTCCTTCAGCTTTGTACAGTAGACAGGAATGTCGGCCATCGATCAATAGCTGCATGCTACCTGTTGTCCTTCAATCAGCTTTGTACAGTAGACAGGAATGTCGGCCATCAATAGCGGCATGCTACCTGTTGTCCAGGCAGATAGTGGTGTAGGCTAAACATTTCCTTTATTCTTCTAAATATTTCTGAATCTATTATTAATTTGTTAACAAGATACAGCTAGGTGACATGAGTAGATGTTCCAATGTCACGGTGACCCTGACAACATACCGGTGGTACAGTGGTATAGTGCTCACTGGACAGCCTAGACGAGCCTGTATAATAAGTCTAGTATACTTAACACTGCCTTACCTGTATGCAGCCAGGCCGTACAGCTATAGCATTATGCTATTTAACATGTGTATAGGATTCTATAGTTATTAATGGTTGACCATTTTAACATAAAAATCAAACAAGATGCGAGATGTATATTTATGTTATTGTAGTCTAACCGGTTTATAAAGAAAACAAGCTTCATGTAAATCACTCGGAGTAAACCTTCTATATTTTATGCCGAAGATATGAACTTCCCTTTATGATTGGATTTCCGTGCCTCAGTGAACGTATTCCTGTTTTACGTGTGATAATGTAGTGGTTCAGCTGCTTCGTCTGACAGACTAGTCTGTGCCTATAACAGTGATCTATGATATCAATTATCTTAATTCAGCTTTTCTAAAAAAAAAAAAAAAAGGATATGTGAAAACTGTGAAAAATCATTGCCAGTTAAGGAGTTTTTGGTTTAGAACTTTGATAATTTCAGGAAATTGAAATTATAGAAAAAAGGTAGATGTTTATAAAGCAGATGTTGATGCTGTTTGTTAATTTATTTTGTCATTTCAGTAAGGATCATTTGACAAAATGTCAACGATACAATTGTCTAGATCAATGTGAAAAGAAACTGTATGTGATATGTTTGTGATGTCATTACATGTCATGATTGTGAGATTAAGTGACATGTCCTGATGGTGAGATTAAGTGACATGTCCTGATGGTGAGATTTAGTGACATGTCCTGATGGTGAGATTTAGTGGCATGTCCTGATAGTGAGATTTAGTGACATGTCTTGATGGTGAGATTTAGTGACATGTCTTGATGGTGAGATTTAGTGACATGTCCTGAGAGTGAGGTTTAGTGACATGTCCTGATGGTGAGATTTAGTGGCATGTCCTGATAGTGAGATTTAGTGACATGTCTTGATGGTGAGATTTAGGGACATGTCCTGATGGTGAGATTTAGTGACATGTCCCGATTGTGAGATTTAGTGACATGTCCTGATGGGGAGATTTAGTGACATGTCCTGATAGTGAGATTTAGTGACATGTCTTGATGGTGAGATTTAGTGACATGTCCTGATTGTGAGATTTAGTAACATGTCCTGATGGTGAGATTTAGTGGCATGTCCCGATTGTGAGATGAAGTGATATGTCCCGATTGTGAGATTTAGTGACATGTCCCGATTGTGAGATGAAGTGATATGTCCCGATTGTGAGATTTAGTGACATGTCCCGATTGTGAGATGAAGTGATATGTCCTGATTGTGAGAATTAGTGGCATGTCCTGATTGTGAGATTTAGTGACATGTCCTGATTGTGAGAATTAGTGGCATGTCCCGATTGTGAGATGAAGTGATATGTACCGTTTGTGAGATTTAGTGACATGTCCTGATTGTGAGATGATGAAGTGATATGTCCCGATTGTGATTAGTGGCATGTCCTGATTGTGAGATTTAGTGACATGTCCTGATGGTGAGATTTAGTGACATGTCCTGATTGTGAGAATTAGTGGCATGTCCCGATTGTGAGATTTAGTGATATGTCCTGATTGTGAGATTGAGTGACATGTCCCAATTGTGAGATGTAGTGACATGTCCTGATGGTGAGATTTAGTGACATGTCCCGATTGTGAGATGAAGTGACAAAAAAATGTACTGATTGTGAGATGTAGCAATCTGTGATGTATGGCCATGTTATCAATTTATCTAGTCATGCTGTGGTTTATGAGAGTGAGGGGAGTATATAGTGTGTCAGTTTACCATAAGGTATAAAATAAATATAAGCTGTTTGTATAACTGTCAATCTAATGGAAAATCATTTGAATTTTTCAAAAAATCAAATAAAACTTCCTTCTGATTTCAGCAATTAAAGGTAGTAGCAGTACCGAAGGAACAGTATGGCAACTTCTACAAGGGGGACTCCTACATTGTGTTATCAGTGAGTATAAACAAAACTTCTACAAGGGGGACTCCTACATTGTGTTATCAGTGAGTATAAACACAACTTGTACAAGGGGGACTCCTACATTGTGTTATCAGTGAGTATAAACACAACTTGTACAAGGGGGACTCCTACATTGTGTTATCAGTGAGTATAAACACAACTTGTACAAGGGGGACTCCTACATTGTGTTATCAGTGAGTATAAACACAACTTGTACAAGGGGGACTCCTACATTGTGTTATCAGTGAGTATAAACACAACTTGTACAAGGGGGACTCCTACATTGTGTTATCAGTGAGTATAAACACAACTTGTACAAGGGGGACTCCTACATTGTGTTATCAGTGAGTATAAACACAACTTGTACAAGGGGGACTCCTACATTGTGTTATCAGTGAGTATAAACACAACTTGTACAAGGGGGACTCCTACATTGTGTTATCAGTGAGTATAAACACAACTTGTACAAGGGGGACTCCTACATTGTGTTATCAGTGAGTATAAACACAACTTGTACAAGGGGGACTCCTACATTGTGTTATCAGTGAGTATAAACACAACTTGTACAAGGGGGACTCCTACATTGTGTTATCAGTGAGTATAAACACAACTTGTACAAGGGGGACTCCTACATTGTGTTATCAGTGAGTATAAACACAACTTGTACAAGGGGGACTCCTACATTGTGTTATCAGTGAGTATAAACACAACTTGTACAAGGGGGACTCCTACATTGTGTTATCAGTGAGTATAAACACAACTTGTACAAGGGGGACTCCTACATTGTGTTATCAGTGAGTATAAACACAACTTGTACAAGGGGGACTCCTACATTGTGTTATCAGTGAGTATAAACACAACTTGTACAAGGGGGACTCCTACATTGTGTTATCAGTGAGTATAAACACAACTTGTACAAGGGGGACTCCTACATTGTGTTATCAGTGAGTATAAACACAACTTGTACAAGGGGGACTCCTACATTGTGTTATCAGTGAGTATAAACACAACTTGTACAAGGGGGACTCCTACATTGTGTTATCAGTGAGTATAAACACAACTTGTACAAGGGGGACTCCTACATTGTGTTATCAGTGAGTATAAACACAACTTGTACAAGGGGGACTCCTACATTGTGTTATCAGTGAGTATAAACACAACTTGTACAAGGGGGACTCCTACATTGTGTTATCAGTGAGTATAAACACAACTTGTACAAGGGGGACTCCTACATTGTGTTATCAGTGAGTATAAACACAACTTGTACAAGGGGGACTCCTACATTGTGTTATCAGTGAGTATAAACACAACTTGTACAAGGGGGACTCCTACATTGTGTTATCAGTGAGTATAAACACAACTTGTACAAGGGGGACTCCTACATTGTGTTATCAGTGAGTATAAACACAACTTGTACAAGGGGGACTCCTACATTGTGTTATCAGTGAGTATAAACACAACTTGTACAAGGGGGACTCCTACATTGTGTTATCAGTGAGTATAAACACAACTTGTACAAGGGGGACTCCTACATTGTGTTATCAGTGAGTATAAACACAACTTGTACAAGGGGGACTCCTACATTGTGTTATCAGTGAGTATAAACACAACTTGTACAAGGGGGACTCCTACATTGTGTTATCAGTGAGTATAAACACAACTTGTACAAGGGGGACTCCTACATTGTGTTATCAGTGAGTATAAACACAACTTGTACAAGGGGGACTCCTACATTGTGTTATCAGTGAGTATAAACACAACTTGTACAAGGGGGACTCCTACATTGTGTTATCAGTGAGTATAAACACAACTTGTACAAGGGGGACTCCTACATTGTGTTATCAGTGAGTATAAACACAACTTGTACAAGGGGGACTCCTACATTGTGTTATCAGTGAGTATAAACACAACTTGTACAAGGGGGACTCCTACATTGTGTTATCAGTGAGTATAAACACAACTTGTACAAGGGGGACTCCTACATTGTGTTATCAGTGAGTATAAACACAACTTGTACAAGGGGGACTCCTACATTGTGTTATCAGTGAGTATAAACACAACTTGTACAAGGGGGACTCCTACATTGTGTTATCAGTGAGTATAAACACAACTTGTACAAGGGGGACTCCTACATTGTGTTATCAGTGAGTATAAACACAACTTGTACAAGGGGGACTCCTACATTGTGTTATCAATGCAACTTGTCAACTTAAATGATGATGTAGCAGGGAAAGTCTGTATTGTAATATGTTCCCAGTATAAGGCTTAGCCTGAGGAAATTGTAATGTATTTGAATTTGCTTTCTATACTAATGTACATTTCTGCATCAGCTTGCAGAGATAGGTGGACCGCGAGGCTTAAACAACATGAAGGTATCTGATAACAGAGCGGGTTAACCTTGCCAATTGTCGGGGGCTTTGTTTTAATTTTTGCTTTTATTTAGTTGCCATTTTTTTTGTCATCAGTTTGTTTTGATTTCACAAAACAAATGTTTATGCAAATGCCATTTATAGGATGTACAAACTTCAAAGTTGGACAAACTATTGTCAACACTGCAGACATGGCGTAACGTGAAGGTCAACGTACCATAACTATTGAAGCAATCCCTATGATTTCTTATCAGAGAAGTTTTCATATCAGAATGCTTAACAACCGAGGATTGTTTGTGAAATCAAGACATTTGTGTGTTTGCATTAACAGTTACAACGTAGTATATCTTAGACCCCAACCAAACCTAGTATAGCCTTGTAATACACAAGATAACGTGATGTCATAACTAGATACCACAATGCCATACACTAAATACCACAATGTCATACACTAGATACCACAATGTCATATACTAGATACCACAATGTCATACACTAGATACCACAATGTAATACACTAGATACCCAAATATACTACACTGGAAACCACAATATCATACACTACATACCACAATGTCATACACTACATACCACAATGTCATACACTAAGTACCACAATGTCATACACTAAATACCACGATGTCATACACTAAATACAACAATGTCATACACTGGATACCACAATGTAACACACTAGATACTTCTATATCATACACTCAATACCAAAATGTCATACACTAGATACCACAATATAACACACTAAATACCAAAATATACTACACTAGATACCACAATATACCACACTTAATACCACAATGTAATAGCTAGATACCACAATGTCGTTCCCTAAATACCACAATGTCATACACTAGATACCACAATATAACACACTAAATACAAAAATAACATACACTACATACCACAATGTCATACACTAGATACCACAATGTCATACACTAGATTACACAATGTAATACACTAGATACCATAACCTAATACACTATATACCTCAATGTCATACACTAAATACCTCAATATCATACACTAAATACCTCAGTATCATACACTAAATACCACAATGTCATACACTAGATACCACAATATAACACTAGATACCACAATATCATACAGTAGATACCACAATGTCATAAACTAGATACCACAATGTCATACACTAGATTAAACAATGTAATACACTAGATACCACAATGTCATAAACTAGATACCACAATATCATACAGTAGATACCACAATGTCATAAACTAGATACCACAATATCATACACTTAATACCACAAGATCATACACTGGATACCACAATGTAACACACTAGATACCACAATGTCATAAACTAGATACCACAATATCATACACTTAATACCACAAGATCATACACTGGATACCACAATGTAACACACTAGATACTTCTATATCATACACTCAATACCACAATGTCATACACTAGATACCACAATATAACACACTAAATACAAAAATAACATACACTACATACCACCATGTCATACACTAGATACCACAATATAACACACTAGATACCACAATATAACACACTAAATACAAAAATAACATACACTACATACCACACTACATACCACAATGTCATACACGAGATACCACAATGTCATACACTAGAGTACACAATGTAATACACTAGATACCCAAATATACTACACTGGAAACCACAATGTCATACACTACATACCACAATGTCATACACGAGATACCACAATGTCATACACTAGAGTACACAATGTAATACACTAGATACCACAATGTCATAAACTAGATACCAATATCATACACTAGATACCACAATGTCATAAACTAGATACCACAATATCATACACTAGATACCACAATATCATACACTAAATACCACAATGTCATTAATAGATACCACAATGTAACACACTAGATACCACAATATAACACACTAGATACCACAATATAACACTAGATACCACAATATCATACACTTAATACCACAATATCATACACTGGATACCACAATGTAACACACTAGATACCACAATGTCATATACTAAATACCACAATGTCATACACTAGATACCACAATGTAATACACTGGATACCCAAATATACTACACTGGAAACCACAATATCATACACTACATACCACAATGTCATACACTACATACAACAATGTCATACACTAAATACAACAATGTCATACACTGGATACCACAATGTAACACACTAGATACTTCTATATCATACACTCAATACCACAATGTCATACACTAGATACCACAATATACCACACTAAATACCACAATATACCACACTTAATACCACAATGTAATTACTAGATACCACAATGTTGTACACTAAATACCACAATGTCATACACTAGATACCACTATGACATACACTAGATACCACCATGTGATACACTAGATACCTCAATATCATACACTAAATACCACAATGTCATACACTAGATACCACAATGTCATACACTAGATACCACAATGTCATGCACTAAATTTCTCACATAGTCTTTTTTCACACAGCACATTTTCGTTCTATTTATTTCTTAGAACCTATCCCCACAGAAGCATCATGTAGGCTTAGTCTCCACCCTATGGTCAAGCTTTGGTAGAGGATAGAAATCTGAAGACAAGTGACATAACTTGTGAATGACTGCAGACTTGATCATAGATCACATGACTATCTCCCACCATTCCACACAGATTCCACCAACCTTAGTATTTGCACTGGTTGCTGTAATAAGTGGATATTGATTGTTTCATCCTGTTTTGACTCAACTTAAATTTGTTAACTTTGAATTTGGAAAGGGATTTTTATCTGAAATATGGATAATGCTGCTATAATATTTCCCAGGTAAACTTTAGTTGATTGCCTATTGTAGTTAGTGTTTAGCCTATTTGACCATCCTTATAAGGCATTCCCATTTGATGCATATACAGTGGAAACCTAATTAGCATTATCCAAAACCCATTGTCTTGTTGCTTGTTCCCACAGAAGCATCATGTAGGCTTAGTCTCCACCCTATGGTCAAGCTTTGGTAGAGGATAGAAATCTGAAGACAAGTGACATAACTTGTGAATGACTGCAGACTTGATCATAGATCACATGACTATCTCCCACCATTCCACACAGATTCCACCAACCTTAGTATTTGCACTGGTTGCTGTAATAAGTGGATATTGATTGTTTCATCCTGTTTTGACTCAACTTAAATTTGTTAACTTTGAATTTGGAAAGGGATTTTTATCTGAAATATGGATAATGCTGCTATAATATTTCCCAGGTAAACTTTAGTTGATTGCCTATTGTAGTTAGTGTTTAGCCTATTTGACCATCCTTATAAGGCATTCCCATTTGATGCATATACAGTGGAAACCTAATTAGCATTATCCAAAACCCATTGTCTTGTTGCTTGTTCAGTAGAATATGCTACGGATTCCAATTATGTGACTGAATTATTGATATCAGGCCTGAGCTTATGTCCAAACTGGAGTTTGTTAAACAGCACAATACCAACACATGGTTACCTCTTCTGACCGAGCAGCACCAGTACTGTGAGAGCTATCCCACAGTCTTATACTCTCAATAGATACAGGAAAAGGAGATTTGTATTACTCCTGGCTCCGTCTTTTAGATATAATATTGCATAATGGATATCTTTGTGGAATTTACAGTAATATTGTGTATAACAATTATATATGATTGTTGAATTTGTATATCTGTGATTGTTGAATTTGTATATCTGTGATTGTTGAATTTGTATATCTGTGATTGTTGAATTTGTATATCTGTGATTGGTTTTGACTCTTAATTAATATATTTGTGTGATTATTTTCGACTAACATAGGTGTATACTGATAGCTGCTGTGGGTGTAACATAGGTGTATACTGATAGCAGCTGTGGGTGTAACATACGTGTATAATGTTAACTGCTGTGGGTGTAACATAGGTGTATTCTGATAGCTGCTGTGGGCGTAACATAGGTGTATACTGATAGCAGCTGTGGGTTTAATATACGTGTATCCTTATAGCAGCTGTGGGTGTAACATACGTGTATACGTATAGCAGCTATGGGTGTAACATAGATTTATACTGATAGCAGCTGTGGGTGTAACATACGTGTATACTGTTAACTGCTGTGGGTGTAACATACGTGTATACTTTTAACTGCTGTGGGTGTAACATAGGTGTATTCTGATAGCTGCTGTGGGTGTAACATAGGTGTATACTGATAGCAGCTGTGGGTGTAACATACGTGTATAATGTTAACTGCTGTGGGTGTAACATAGGTGTATTCTGATATCTAATATGACTTTTTTCCAGATTAAAGATGTCAAAGGTGCAATGGAGATGCACATCCACTTCTGGCTCGGCAGTGAGAGCTCACAGGTAACAACCAGTTATTGTGTTACTAATGTGGCAAGGGTTACTTGTATTTTTGCGTTATTTTAAAACTGTTTTGATTATAACCTAAAGCTAGAACTAACCACAGATTATACCTTCATGAAGGTAGTTCACTCTTTCCGTACCGCAACTCTGGTCCGGATTCCGTACCGGTAGTACTTATAAGACTCGCCCCCGCGCATATAACAAAATGGCGGATTATTAATTTACTTTTTAGACTATGTGTAACTGCCGCAAGAACTAAACAGGTAACTGTGAACACATATTGTTATTGTTTCATGTTCTGGTTCATAGACAAACACTTCTTCATGTTCGCAGAATGACTAACTGGCAGCTGATTATGACTGAGAAATTGACATTTGTCAGGCAATAAACGATACGATTCCTTGTATTTAACACAGCGTTGTAGTGCAGGTTTCCAATTGGGATTGATTATGGTTACGAATGTGGAGTCGTTGAGTTTTTTCTAAATACAAGTAGATTTCATCAAGACTTATATCAGAATATTCAAATTTACTTCCATAAGTCTCAACAAATCTTGCTGTAAATGCGAAAACATTAAGTCACATAATAAAAAAGTGTACTGTGCACAAATAAAATTATTTCTTCCAAACTGATGGGTTCTGATTTTAGCGACAATTAATTGTTTTTTCGCAACAGTCTTGTGCGATAACCAACCAAACATCAGGCAGGTTACATCAAAGCCTCTTGTCATGTGTACACGACAACGGGGATGAGACGGCCCTTTATTTTGTCGTCTGTACACGACAACAGGGACCAGGATGACATATTGTTGTCGTGTGTACACGACAACGGTACGAAAAGAGTTAATGAACATTATATGATGTAGTAACTAATGTACATTATATGATGTAGTAACTAATGTACCATATATGATGTAGTAACTAATGTACATTATATGATGTAGTAACTAATGTACATTATATGATTTAGTAACTAATATACCTTATATGATGTAGTAACTAATGTACATTATATGATGTAGTAATTAATGTACATTATATGATGTAGTAATTAATGTACCTTATACTATGTACATTGCTATGATTCCTGTATATTTTGTATGTAGCTTAATTTACAGTATTTGTTAAAAAACTGTTCTAATTTCAGGACGAGGCTGGAACTGCGGCTATTAAATCTGTAGAACTTGATGACCACCTGGATGGCGCTCCTGTCCAACACCGGGAAGTGGAGAACCACGAATCCAAGATGTTCTCCAATTACTTTAAGAGTAAAGGCCTGAAGTAAGCAGGTGTACAGTTCAACTGTATCTTCTAAAATTACACAGCATCAAATCTTACAACATTTTATTTAGTTACTTTAGTTCTTGCCAATCAGCAAAACCCTCAACCTGAGGTGATATAACTAGCTCTGCCCAACTGAGGAAACATTGTGGGGATCAGTTTTGACCCATACCATAGAAAAACACTGGAATAGTCCAATCTTAACTGACGTGTACACCAAAATGTCAGGTTAATGTATAAGTATATGCTTGATAATGTCAACAAATGCTGTAAGAATTTTGTACTCTACAGTTACATGAATGGAGGAGCCAAGTCAGGATTTAACCACGTAGAACATTCCTTCACTGTACGGCTGATGAGGGTCAAAGGCAAACATCATATTCGAGCGACAGAGGTAAGTCTGGCATTGTACATATCAGAGATAACAACTCGTTCCAAACCTCCTATAAAGTCATCATGTACAGAAACTAAAGTAAATATGGAGAAGTTCTTACTACCAGACAAAGTGCTGCTAATTAATATTCATAAGTGCCCGAGATAGTGTACCATAGACATATTGTCTACATGTAGGCATTCAAATCATACAGAAAAATCAAGTTTATAGAAAGTCAAGATTGATTTCTGTGATGTGCATAGTGAAATGTTATGTATATTGTCTTCATTTAATAACACTGTCCTGGCAAACACGCATACCACAATATGCGATGATGTTTTGAGAACAGTTAGGCAAATATCCCTTTGTTGCCCCCCCCCCCCCGACAGCACGGCCACGCTTCATCAAAGAAATTTACCTGTATCGTTGATTTCACAGCGGAGCGAATCCTGGGGGTCAGTTTAAGATGTTTTTAGCTCACCTGGTCCTGCGTCCATCTGGCGTCTGTCTGTCGGCATCAACATTTTTAGCTCGCAAGTGAGCTTATGCTGTGGTGCGGCATCCGTCTGGCATCCGGCATTAATATTTTGCTTTAAACACCTTCTTAAAAGGCCTAGGGTAATGATATTTGGCCAGAAGCAAACTAGGATGAAGAGCTACAAAGTTTGTAGAAATAAATGACCTTCACCCATTTTCAAGGTCACAAGGGTCAAAAATGATAAAAACTTTCAAACAACTTCTTCTGAATAACCAAAATTGCCCAGGGAAATGATATTTGGCATGCTGGGATGAAGAGCTACCATGTTTGTTCAAATGAATGACTTTGACCCACTTTCAAGGTCACAGGGGTCAAATGTCATAAAATCTTCAAACAACTTCTCAATAACCATAACGCCAACAGTACTGATATGGGGCCTGTAGCATGCTGGGATGAAGGGTTACCAAGAGTGTTCAAAAAAATGACCTTGACCCACTTTCAAGGTCACAGGGGTCAAATGTGTTAAAATCTTCAAACTTCTTCTCAATAACCAAAAGGCCCAAGGCACTGATATTGGGCATGTAGCATCTCCCTGGATAAAGGGCTACCAGGTTTGTTCAAATGAATGACCTTGACCCACTTCCAAGGTCACATGGGTAAAATGTCTTGAAATCTTCAAACAACTTCTTCTTAATAACCAAAAGGCCCAGGGCACTGATATTGGGCCTGTAGCATACTGGGATGAAGGGCTACCAAGTTTGTGCAAATGAATGACCTGGACCCACTTTCTAGATAACAGGTGTCAAATGTGTTAAAATCTTCGTGCAACTTTTTCTCTATAACCAAAAGACCCAGTGTATTGATTATGGTCCTGTAGCATGCTGGGATGAAGGGCTACCAAGTTTGTTCAAATGAATTACATTGACCCACTTTCTAGATAACAGGTGTCAAATGTGTTAAAATCTTCGTGCAACTTTTTCTCTATAACCAAAAGACCCAGTGTATTGATTATGGTCCTGTAGCATGCTGGGATGAAGGGCTACCAAGTTTGTGCAAATGAATGACCTTGACCCACTTTCAAAGTCCCAGGGAACAAATATGTTAAAATCTTCAAACGACTTCCTCTCAATAACCAAAAAGCCCAGGGTACCAATATTGGGCCTGTAGCATGCTAGGATGAAGGGCTACGGAGTTTGATCAAATGAATTACATTGACCCACTTTCAAGGTCACAGAGTTAAAATGTCCTAAAATCGTCAAACAACTTCTTCTCAATAACCAAAAGGCCCAGGGTACTGACATTGGGCCTGTAGTATGCTGGGATGAAGGGCTACCAAGTTTGTTTAAATGAATGACCTTGACCCACTTTCAAAGTCCCAGGGAACAAATATGTTATAATCTTCAAACGACTTCCTCTCAATAACCAAAAAGCCCAGGGTTCCAATATTGGGCCTGTAGCATTCTAGGATGAAGGGCTACGGAGTTTGTTCAAATGAATGACATTGACCCACTTTCAAGGTCACAGAGTTAAAATGTCCTAAAATCGTCAAACAACTTCTTCTCAATAACCAAAAGGCCCAGGGTACTGACATTGGGCCTGTAGTATGCTGGGATGAAGGGCTACCAA